GCGCTGGGCCTGTGTGTGTGTGTGGGGGCGGGTAGGGTGTTGAGAGCAGGTAGTGTCCTGCCTTTTTACACATAGGAAAACAGGCCGCAGGCTGGAAATGGAGGCCGGCGGCTTTTTGACCCCTTTATACTCCAGTTTCCTCAAACCTCTGGTGACCCAAGAAAAAGCTTATAACCCACTCAATGCCGAATCCCCACCCCCACCCCCGCACCGGTTATCTAACTTTCACCTTCTCGCTCCTGCATGTTCCTTACAGCCGTGGGTTCCCACCCTGGGGAGCTTCTAGAACTCCCGAAGCTGGACCAGCGTCGTCAGCATCCAAGGACTCGGATTGTTTAATGTTTCCCGGGTGATTCCATTTTCAGTCACAGTGGGAATTGGTGTGTTACGATTGGGAGGGGGGAGGGAATGGCGGGGGGACTCTTTGAACTGCCCCAGTGTTCTTTTGCACACTTTAATTCCTGTTCCTAACACATGCCAGCAGTTGTCTGACAGATTTTTACCTCATAAATACACAAGCATTCGGTAATGGAAGGAGTGGTGCGCCTCTAAGCCTTAACGAGTGTGACGTAAGAAGCTAGCCTTAATATTTTTGGCCCTGACCGGCGTCTCTCAGTGGTTAGAGCATCAGCCCCCCTCACTGAAGGTTGCAGGTTAGATTCCTGGTCAAGGGCCTGTACCTGAGTTGCAGGTTTGATTTCCAGACCCAGTCGGGGCGCATGTGGGAGGCAACGAATCAATGTGTGTCTCTCACATGGATGTTTGTCTCTCTCTCTGCCCTTCGACCCCTCTCTTCTCCCTACCCCCCTCTCTTCCTGTCTCCCTCTCTCCCCTACCCCCCCTTTCCCTTTCCTCCTCTATCCCCCTCTCTTCCACTCTCTAAAAATAAATGGGTGAGGATTTAACAAAATAAAATCAACACTTTGGCCCTCGCCGGTGTGGTTCAGTGGTTAAAGCGTCGGCCCGTGCACCAAAGGGTCACAGGTTGGATTCCCCATCAAGGGCACGTACTTGGGTTGCAGGTTTGATCCTAGCACTGGTTNATGTGTCTCTCAGTTAGTTGTTTCTCTTTCTCCCTCTCCCTTCCAATCTCTCTAAAAATCAATGGAAAAAATATCCTAGGGTGAGGATTAACAACAACAAAAATCAATGCTTTTGGTTGACAAGTTTTTTCATGTGTGGAATGGACTGTTACTTGGCTCTTTTTCTTACCAGCAACCCTTGGGTGACGTTCATAAGCATTGTGTGTGAGACAGGAATTACCTGGGTGTCCTTGTGCCTTGGTTTCTCCACTGGTCAAAAGGAAGTAATAGTGCCTACCCTAAACCTGGAAGCATGTGGGAAGGTGAATGGCAAATATCTAACACACAGGCCACATTGTGCTGCTGTAGTAACCCAGGTTTATCACCATTCATCCTTTGCCTAGGGAACACTGATCTGTTTTCTGCAGAGAAAATCCTCACCAGCTGGAAGAGGGGGCAGGGTGTCGGGTTTGTTTAAATAAGTGGCTGCTGGACCCATGGAAAACAATCTCTTGACATTTCTGACCACTCTGAGTATACTCTTCACAACATCTTTTTAGAAAAGTTGTTCAGGAATCCACTTCACCTAGAACCACTGGGTTTTCTTGATTTCTTTCATTCTCCAAAATTGAAGTTTGAGCAGACTCTTTTCTGATTGGGTAAATATCCCTTTTGCCATTAGGGACAACTGTAGCCTCCTTCCTGCTGGTTCCAACTCTGAAAAATTGGTGTGCGGCGGCTTTGC